GCTTATAAATTATTGCTTATCCATGACATGGAATTCATTCTCTAACAGCCCTGCCAAATAAACTGCAACCAGTTACATTTTGATTTAGGATTAAGGCAAACATATGAATCATACCACCCACAGGCTTTGGATGCAGTTAGAATTATTCTAATTACACTTGCATTTCTAGTCTGTGGAAAGTGCTATTCCTTTGCAGCAATTCCTCAGGGCACAAAAGAACAAGGGTAAGAAGTCAAGAGCTATCCATCATTGCATATAGGAACTTATTTTTAAAATCAGAAAGGTGCAAATACTTGTTTCAATCACAACCCTGGTACTGAACTCTCAGAGGTAAAATTCTCTCTACACAGGTTTGAGAAATAGTGCTCAGAGTTAAAGAAATACACTGGAAAACCAGCTAAATGAGCTTGTTCACTTCCACATTGGCAATTTCTGTTTTTTTTTTGCTACTTGCTCCTTTGTATTTTGTGAAAGCTGAGTACTAAGAGAGTACGGTTCTCTATCTGAATAACTAACTTAACTGATTAACTGAAGCTGAAACCAAAACAATTAAATCTAGCATTAATAAGAAGGGAAAACAATTATACCTGTTGTGAAGCAATTCCATCTATTTCAGGTTTTGTGAGCTTCCGGCTGTTGTTTGTAAGACAACATCAGGTGCTCAATGCAGTATGTCATGCTTTTTAAATGATGACTGAAGACATGGATTTAAAATTAATTTAAAATGTGCCTATTTTCCTTAATCTGTATAATTTAAACAAGAGCCTGGGGTCATAAAAGACTGATAAATCTGGTGTTTGTTTCCCAATATTTTATTTAATTTGTTATATAATTATCATCATTATCACTGTACAATTCTGTATGTTCCAACTAAGTGTTATGATAAAGGTACATTTTAAGGGAAATTGTATTTTGAAAGTCAGTGTTTCACCACAAGATAAGTATTCACAAGTTGTATTCTTCCTACTTAAGCATCTTTTCTCAACTTTCAGAATTACAGGCCAGTTGTTTTCTATCCTCATATTGTGGTAGAAGGTTTTATTCAGTATTTTTATATTAAGGAATTTCTGTTTTCTGTATTTTTTTTTCACGTGTGCTTATTGCAGAACTTTCAGTATTGTTTCATTTTAAATGGCTATATTGTCTATGGCCATGTCTCACAGCATACAATTGCAACTTTCAAAAAATACTTTTGTTAAAATTCATGTTGTCACATGTTTTCACTAACAGTACAACCACAAAGCACTGATTAAGGCAAATTAAATATTAGCAGAAAATGTAAATGTCATCAATTTGATTTCTACTTTTTTTCTAGACTAAAGAATGACCTCTCTCAATGTGACTGAATGAAGTAATGTAAGGCAGCTTTTACATAGTTTAGCATAAAAATAGGAAAGAAATGGAGTTAATTGACAATCATTTGTTTAAATAGTGAACCTTCAGCAAGCACTCAGCATATACATAATACAGAACATAGTTTTTAGACATGCTGGAGTTGTTTTTATTGAGTAACAAACTTCTATTCTCCCACAACCTGGCAGCTTCTTTTGGTCGATACCATGGCATTGATTTTTGGCAATTTGCTTGTTGGATCTATTGATTGTCACCCTTTAAATGCTACCATTTAATGAAAATGTTTCCCCTTCCTTTGGTTGCCAATCACTTACAATCACACAAATCCCTTTACATCAGCTGCTGTGTCCACCTGTCATCCCATTTTTTTGGGCTTCCCATAATCTGACTCTGGTGCAAGAGGTCATTTCTGAGTTGTTAAGCCTCCTTTTTTCTGAATGTCCAAAATAGATCCCAGTTCTTAGTTTTGTTTTGTTTTTTGCAGCCTGTGTTCAGGTAAGTTGATTCTTAACATGAGGTTGTCAGTTTCTTGTGTTTCAGTTTCAACATTGTCAATAATAGCAAGCAGATACAGACCAACCTGACCTGATCAGTCTTGGACGTATGTATGGAGATGGATAACTTTCTGTAGTAAGCTGTTTTTAGCTGAAGCAAAAATCAGCTCCATAATTTTACAGACAAGACCACAAAAAAAACACTAATAAGAATTTCAGACCCTATTTTTTAGAAGGCATTCATAAGAGGGTCTGTTATACAGAAACAGCAGGAACAATTAATAGGTGCCATACTAGGACTATGTGCCCTTTTCATGAAGTCAATACAAGTGGCACAAAGCTACCATCAGTGACTGAACATATTATGACTGAACACCCCTAAATCAGAATGTGCCTTTAAAGAATGCTTTTTAAACTACTGCACCTCTTCTCATCTTTAGAGAATGCCTTGTGGAAACATTTTGCTGAGGAGGAAGCATTTTGTCTTTACTGTGAACAAAGCAGAAACTATACTCTTCAAAATAAAAAAAATACATTATTTGCATTGCTTAGTAACATACCGATAATTTCCTTTTCATACTTGACTGGCATCTTTATAGTGAAAGGATGAAGTTTGCCCAAATATATGTTTAAGATGTTTTCATCCATACGCTGTTTATCTTACAGGAAATGAGGCAACCCTCATGTTGTGCCTTCTGAATTCCAATACAAAAGCTGTGTTGTATTAGGAATGTCTTAGGGACCAGAAAAAATGTTGGCTGTTATTTCAGATTTATTTTATGGTAGTGGTCAAAGGCTACAGACAGGTCCAAGTCCAGGTTTTTCAATGTTTCTTATTAATTTTTAATACAGTTTATACCCTCTAATACGTAAATGCACTTTTTTGCTTTTAATATTTTATTATGGATTTAACCTGAATAATTCTGAAACTTTACCCCATATTTTTTATGGATATATAAAAAGGTTCTGTGGGTTCCGAATTAAAAGATGACATCCTAGAAAAATTAGGAAAGGTTCCTGAGAGACAATGTTCTAACACTGTTTTTTTCATTGTTTCCAGAATTTCTGCTACTTTCCTTATGAAAATAATCTAAAGTTTTGGTTCAAATGAGAAGTTGGGCTATGTACAGTACGGGTTATGTTAGGAAGGAACACATTTCATTGAGCTGTGATACAAGACGGCAAAATAAGACAAACTAAAAATTGCAACCTTGGCAGTTTACTTTTTTAACTTTGATTTCTTTCCTCTTTGTTTTTGTCAAGTAGTAGCACAATACTCTGGGCCTTTGAAACTGCCGAGTCACCCTAGTGACATATTGTGATTCATCTCCTGTAAACAGTGATAATGTGCATGCTTTACTTGCTAATGCTTTCCTGTTAAGCATCCACAAATGGTTGTAGGTGACAGCTTTGACTCCTACGCAACTCTTTTTTTTTCAAATTTAAATTGAAAAACATCATTTTTATATCTACAGGATGTCTGCATATATTTAGATGCTCAATAGGAATGTGCAGTTGATCTTAATAAGTAAGCAGAGGTAAAATCAAGTTTAGTCCAAAAAGTTTACTTTGTACTGTGAAGAAATGCTTATTTCAAAGTCTTTTTTTCCTGTATATAGAGAATGTGACTGTTTCAAATGTTTTCTTAAAGGTTTGTGTCCTATTCAGTAAAATCAACTTAATTATTAATCTCTGCCTTTTTTTAGTTCAACAGCAATATACTCTATGATGGCTTTTATACTCACTATCTGAAAAGATACGCTTTTTTTGTATTGAAGCACTTCTTAGAGAAAATGAATGAGGAATGGGGTCTAAAGTCTAAAACTCTTCAGCTGTAGTAAGAGACAAGAGATTTTTTTAAAATAAAAATAATTAACATTATATGTATACAATGGTTTGCTAGTACATTTTGCCAGACTATGAAACTACAACAATGTTAATTTGACTAGGTGTGTGGAACAGTTGCTCTTAATGCCATAAGACTGAATCAGCTCTTGACTCTCATAGCCAAGCTCTTGTAGCATTGCTTCTTCATGTAATATATCATAAGATGGGCTTGCTTATCTTACACACAACAGAATTACCCCTTAAACAGATCTTGATCAGTCAAAAGCAATTAATTAATGAATATAAAGACTCTACACAATGTGTGGGGAAGTGTGTATATTAAATATTGTTTTTTAAAACATGCACCTCGAAGCCATGCAATTTTTGTACACTTGTGAATGAGACTACTAAGAACTCATTTTCACACTCACACTACAGTATACTTGCATCCCAGCAGTGTTACCCCCCTATAGCCTGAACAGGGTGGTTGGGAGACCTTTAAGGAAAATCATGGTGATGTAATGTTGGTTGGGCAGTAACTGTCCCTCCTTCTTTTAGGAGCAGAGGTTCCAAACCAAAACTCCACTGTGCTGAATGGGAGTACTGTGCTGAAGGTGTCTCCCTTCTCATGAGGTGTTAAACTAAGGTCCTGAGTACATGTTCACTAAAGATACCATGGCACTGTTCATAAATGCTTTAGGTGTCCAGTCTTAAGTGAAATTAATCAAACCTGATAGGACAGTTAGCATGCTAAATAAATAGACTGCAGAGGGTAAATACACTCCACAGAGTACTGGTCAGGTTCAGGATTAATGTTGAAGTGACAGTGGGATGTCAGTGCATGTCCATCCTCTTTAATTGTTGCACTGTTGTTGGACTGAAGTGGCTCCATTAGTAATTGTTGACCTGGTTTACAAATTATCAACAGAGCTACATTATGTGACCTGTTTTCACCTCCAGTGGAAGTGTTAATTTATATTAATCAGGCATTTTATATACGTGTATCATTTCGAATTTCTGTTTTTATTTTTTCGGTAAAAAATTAGGATTTGTGTCTTTGCAGTTAAGTATTCATATGTCAGGTTGCTACAGTATGTAGTAATGACAGTATTTGTCAAGCTTATAAAGCTCATACTATTCCTTTTTGTTTTTGTGGACATTTCCTTCTATGAACATAAAGTTTCCTATGTCTTTCTGTATAAAGAGTCTCAGTGTTATCCGGTTTGTGTCCAAAGCCAGATAATATCTGCACTCATTGGACTACATTTGTTTCTGAACAACCCAGTGTAGGTCAACATACTGAACTTATCTGCCTTGTCTTTGCAGATACTCAAAGAGTACAAGGATGAAGACTGGAATATGGGCAATATAATTTACACATTGACAAACAGGAGATACGCAGAGAAATGCATTGCGTATGCAGAAAGCCACGACCAGGTAACAGCAGCTTTTGGTCTAAAATAATGCACCTAAAATGTCAAGAGAAGAAATGTGTTCCCTTTTTACTAATTCCCTAACAGAACATTCAATTTTTTCTGCTTATGTTTGAAATCACACATTGCAGATGCAAATGGAAAGTTCTACCTTTATGAGTAATGAAAAAAAGCTTCACATTTATTTCTTATCAACTGAAAAAGCCAGCTTCTGAATCTTCTAGTGTATAAGCGAATAGCTCAAATAACATATTTTCCAGTAAGGTTACAATAAAATACCTGTTACATTGCAGAATCTGTGTTTTATATCACAAGCAGATAATAAAGAAAATATTGTAAGGAATTTTGTCTGGAAAATGAATGTAAAATAACATCCTTAGTATGATTCAGATTGTTTTTTTCATTACTCAGTTTTCAATTTTATCTTTGTTTTTGATAATTCTTTATTATTAAAAAAACTCTGTTTAAGACCTTCATGCCCCCAGCCCACATCCAAGTACTTAAAACACATTTAGGATATTCACATTAATACAAAGCATGTACCTAAGCAGTGAAAATAATTTTACCAAAGGCTGTAGCTGTTTTGACAATCGGATTGTGTGTACATGCATAACAAAATGTAATGCCTTTTCTACTTTATTTCTTCCTGAATATGTCATTCTTGTTTTATAAATATGGTTAGAGGGTATAAAAAGAGAAAGACTGTTTTAACTTAATGAGAAATGTTCAAAATTTGGAGTTGGAGAATTCAAGAATTGCAACAGTAAGACAGAAGCACCTATGATCAGTGACATGTATCCATACTTGAAAGGCATTGAGTGAAGACATTAACTAAGAACAGCACTGGACAATACAAGGCTTCATAAAAATTGACTCAATTTTAATATTCTTCTTTTCCAAAGTGTTTAATTTTTGTGTGCAGGCTTTATAAATGAAATTAAATACATGCTTTATTGGTTAGGCACTTGTTGGTGACAAGACCTTGGCTTTCTGGTTGATGGATGCTGAAATGTACACCAACATGAGCATCCTGACTCCATTGACTCAAGTCATTGACCGTGGAATTCAGCTTCATAAGATGATCCGTCTCATCACACACGCCCTTGGTGGAGAGGGCTACCTTAACTTCATGGGTGAGTAACAGAGGAGTCTCTAATTCTTCTAAATATGCTGTATAGGCACACTGCCTTAAAAGCACAGTGACTCCAAAACCAAGAGACAGAGTCCAAAAGAACTGAGAGAAAAGAAGTCTTAACAATAACATAAGGATATACTGTATGAAAGGATATAAGGATGGTTTGTAGAACCTATTCAATCACCAAATTTATTCCAGCTTTTTCATCTCATCGGTCAACTTCAACAGCATTGCTGGGTAAATTCATGGCTTTCTGTAATGAAACACCTACTGTTTCAGTCTGCTCATTATCTGAAATATTACTTGCAGTTTTGAGTTCCCTGTTTCATGTAAGGCTTAATACAACAGGGTTATGATGAGAGTGAATGTATGAAGCACTGGGTTAAAAAACGATATCCTTGGACTTAGGCCTTGGTTTAATAAATCTGTTTATTCTTCTTAGTAATTGATTAACACATTATAGCGTCAAGGAGCCAGCCATAAATCTGTTGATTTTTAAATTAGACTATCACTCAGAAATAAAAAAGGTTGTGAAAATTCTCACTCATAATTTCAATACTTGAACTGTTTTTAAATAGGTGAGAAATCAGGGAAAGTTGTGTGATCACTCGTACAGTATGTACAGTTGATGTATTCAATTGAAGCCAATAGAAATGCTGAAATACTATATCATATGCTATACTACATGCTTTGTAATTTGGTTCTAGAAAAATATTGTCAGACAAATCTTATTTCATTTACTAGATTTGCTGATCATGCAGAGGAGTAAGGGGATATTTTAAAACTAGAAGTTAATTTGATCATTTTTTTAATTGTGTTTGTTTTAACTAGTTCTTAATGTTATCAGGTGCATACTGTACTCCCCCAGACAGTGTCTGTAAGTTCATAATTCATATGCTAAATATAAATAAAATTAAGAAATCATTTGCGATTGAACTCATTTTACATTTATCAGATGTTTTGTTTTTCAGCTGTCAGTGTTAAGATATTTTTAAATAGTTATAAAAGCTTGAAACCAAACTTTTGTATCATAAACAATCCTCTATTTTTTTTTAATGACGCTTGACATCTTTCCCAAGCAAGGTTGGAACATAGAGTGCTTCTTGAGAATGTTTCGCAAAGGTTATTTAAGTACTACACAGAAAAACCAAAGCTTAGAAAAATGCAGGCTACTAGAGGTCATGAAATAAACCAAAGAGGACAGTTGTCCTCTATCAGATTAGCTTAATATATTTTACTGCAGCATTAAAGATTGTCATTTGGTTCCATTCGTCATCATTTAGAATGCCTTAGTTTCTGTGAAACCTGTTAGAAAAAGAAGCATTAATCCATCAAATATTCAATTGCATTAAAACAATTTCATAAAATGAAAGAATCATCATTCAAAAGCCTTACATTTATGTATGGAGTATAAAGCATTTAAAGGTTTATGACCTGCATAAACAGAGAGAAGAGTGAGTTTCAATCACTTTTGTTTATTTTGAAGAGAATATTGGTCAATTCCACAGTCTTTTAGCCCCACCTTGTGACAAGGTGATTTATTCATTTTGGAAAGAATTTTTATACTAGTTGAAAATTAAGAGAACACTTTGATTCATACAAATTTGGTTTGTCCTTTTAAGTGTGTGCTTGATTTGGAAATCCTAACTTGTAAAAATCCTTATAACTGTGAACCTCAGTCTTGTCTGTCAAAACAATGACACTGATGTACAGTATAGGGCATCCATCAGGTCCTGTGATCACCAGGATGCTTTGAGAAAGAAATGGAATTTTAACAGTGCACATTTAGCATAACACCTTTACAGAAAATTGTACAATACAGGGCAAGCAAGTAATGCTGATCAGACATTCACTACCAACAAGCTATAGCATTTACAGCTGACTGGTGTAAGAGAGTCAAAATGGGGTAAGATGTTCTAAATTGACAATAAATAGCAATTTAAAAGGTAAATGCAAAAATTAGTCATTACATATTAATTGTTTATCAGAATTATAAGATGTGTCTTATCTTTGTATTTTATAAAAGAAAAGCTTACATTCAAAACATTTGAAGAAAGTAAGAAGGAAACAGCGGAGCTTTAAACACTCAACGTTCACTTTGGAATTTATGACATTATTGTTCTTTTCTTCTCATTCTGTGAATTTTAATTTAACATAAACATCCAGTTCAGTTAAGCTGAATTGCTGCAAGCAATTCTTTAAGATTAAGAGCACCTTTAACATGGTATCCCAAATGTGCTTGCTCTCCTGTGATGTGATTGTGATTGATGTGATATGATTTTGACACATCTCTTTTAAGAAGTTAAGAGATTTACTTGCTAATTCACTGAGGTTCTTAGAAGAGATACTGTACATTTTAGAGAAGGAAAATTACTGTAGGTTAAAAAGGGACTCTACAGAGGGGCAGTGGACAGGAATAAGTCCTCCTATGAGCATTTTCAAATGAAAAAAAATGTGCACACTGATAGAATTCCTGGCACCTTTTGGTGATTTATATCTTAAAGAGTGTTTAATTCTTTAACATTTTCATGCTTAGACTCAGTTCCGGTTTCTTCAGCCCTTTTTGGGGATCAGTATTTCAAGGAGGCTGTGCAGGACACCACTTTCACATGACATTTTGATGTGACAAGAGCAGTTTGAACTGTGTCGGGATTTGATCATGGCCATTCAGGAACAACTCCTGAACATCTTCAGATCCAACATAGATTCCCCAGACAAGGCGGAATCCCACTGTGCCATAAGACCAGGAGTCCTGTCAGGGGAAAGCTCAAAATCCTGGTTCAAAGGGGGTGAAGCCACCATCTAGAGCAGAATCAGTACCTCTGAGACCACTGTGCTTGGTGTTTTTCCAGCCAAGGCTGTTACCCTTTTCATTTACTGTATATACTGTAGTCCTCTACAAAAATAAGGCCTTAGTTACCATCATGGGTTCTTACATTTCAGTTGCTGTAAAAGAGCTTCAGACAGAAAAAGGGCTGTTCTAGGGCTTATTAATGTAGGGCAGAATTTTAAATGTACCAGTCTTTTGTGTTTTTGTCATGCTCAAAATAAACAAATGTTACTGCATGTTGCTGTATATGGGTTATCAGGAAAACACTTACAGAATTGCTGATAAATTTCTAAACAGCTCTGCAGTCCTTGGTGAGGGGCTGGTTATAGCAGCGGGATACTTGCTTTATCATATTTGATTTTCTTCTAATCAGTATCTGTCAGCAGAGGATAGAGAATACTGTGGAAAACCGATTTCTTTGATCCCTTTAGACAAATTAACTGTTTTTTATCTTATTCAATAAAGAGAATATATTTTCTTCAGATCTTTATCTAAAGACTTACATTCCACATTTTTAAATAAATAAATTAAATAAAAAATAAATGTTTCAAGGCATGATATTATCTATGCTTTTTTTCTTTTCCTGGGTTACAATGCATCTATTCAATACTACACATTGAATATGGAGTAATGTCATTTTCTTTCAAATAATGTTTAATTTTTCTTTGTGGGTTTTAAATCAGAAGACAAAATAGATAAAACAGTGAATGAAGGAGCAAATTAATTAACATGAATCTGAATATTATACAGTATATAATACAGAATTACGAAGTCACAGTCATATTTACCCTAGCTATATATTCTGAATAACCTACCAGAGAGAAGTTTAGCATTCTTAAATCAAGGTATTCTTTATTCAAAGTTCTAAGGGAAGGGAAGAAATTCTGAACATGTCTCTAGGTCAGAAGATGAGAGTAGGGGCAGTGGAAGGTACTGTATAAAGTCTGCACAGACTGCAGAGTCTTGCCAAGTAAATATCATATTAATGATGTATCTTTAATGTAGACATTAATGATTAAAAGCAGCTTTTGCAAGGATACTAAAAACAGTAATTAAATGGAAGATCTTAATTGGCTAACTGGTTGCTTAAGTCTTGTATCTAATTATTAGTACATTAAACAACATTGTTACTCTACTGTTGTGTGCCAAGGAGCACTTCTGTAATGTCAAAAATACTCCCAGTCTGCACAGAGTCACTGCCTTTGATGTGGCATTTTCTTAGAAATTGGTTAAAGAAATGTACCTGAAGCTGTCACCAATATCATTCTTGCTAATCAAGAACTAGAAAGCTATAAATAGTGTCATTTAGTTTATCATACAAGTATTTAACCATTTTTATTTAATATTTTATTTCTAAAATGTGATTTTGCCGGGTTTTTTCACATTTGTAATCTCTTGATTTATTTTTAATTGATGGCTTCATTTTTGGGACCTTCCATTTGAAATCCGTTCAGCTTAGGGTAAGACACTCATATCTGTACAGAAGTAGTGTAGACTGTATGTACTGTATGCTTCCTCTTAAATAATTATTTATATCATACATGATACAAAATATTCAGTATTTTTTTATTGTTGACTTAATCTGCTATGTTCCAGACATAGCCCTACAGAAATGTACTTTAAATGACATTGGAATGTAAACACTCCTGTCACACATGTGCTCTTCCAGAAATGACCAAATGCGTCTCAGGACATTGCTAAGACATGACCATCCATTCAGATGTTACATGATGTTGTAACATCCATTCAGATGTTACAAACATTAGAGAAAGACAGCAAAACACTCTTTATTACAGGCAACCTAATAATGTGTACAGGTGATTGTTGATTATTTTAAGCAAGAATTGAGGAACTATCTTTTTCTAAATGGGTGTAATTACGATGGTTGTGTCTGTGCTAGTAGTTACAAGGTCACTTCCTATGACACATTCAGCCCTTTCAGGAGAAGTTGTGACTTTTAACCATACATTAATGGATCAATTAGGTAAAGTCAACAACAAACATTACAGACAAAGAAAAAGCAAAGCATTTAACATAATAAAATCCTCCCCCACCTCTATTTACACCCCCCCCCCCATCGAAAAACCCCACCCTTTCTCAAGAAATCATGTGTTCAATACATGTACAGTATTTACAAGTGAAAGACCGTGTGAGAAATTACACTCTCT